ACAGCTAAGGGAAAAATAATGAAAACAAAGACCATACTTAAACTTTAAAAATAAATTAAGGAAAATTAAGGACTATAAAAAGATACTTTTTCTAAATAAAGATTAATTTGTAATACATTTTTCAACAAGAAATGATTTTTTTTTTAAATTTTGAAATACACATATATTTAATATATATTTTTATCTTTTAGTTGTTATTTTATTTTTCATTTAGAAGTTTTTTTATTCAGCAATAAATCTAAAAAAAATTGTTTTTGTAAATTTATCAATACCAAAAATGACTATTTTGACTATAAATTCCTATGTATTTGTCATAAGTTATGATCTTTATCAGAAATCGTGGCATAGTTATTATAAAGTCCAAAAATGTAACCAGTTTTAACAAACATTTTCCCCTATTTTCTAAAATTGTTATGGAATCCTAAAATGTAATATATATTAATGGAATTATTTGAAAGTATAAAATACCACAAAAAATGGTCTAATATTTATTTAAAATATTTATTTATTGTCACAATAAAATATAAAAAACAACCTCAAGAAAACCCAAATTAAGTTGTATCTATAGATTTTCTGGCAAAAAAGTATCTTTTTTTTGGCATAGATTCATATAATTCCAGCAGCTCATGAATAAAACTGAAATTTATAATAAAGTTAGCTTGAAAACTTCACTATAATTATGACACTCACTGTGCGTGAACCTATCGCTTTTGCTGTTGCCGTCGCCGTCTCTGCCGGCGTCGCAGTCGCCGTGCGTATGTACAGTAGCCTGTGTTTCAAGTGTATTTTCACAGATATTTATCTAGATACGCGCGACGAGCGCTGCCTTTCTGCCTTCTTTATTTACCGTAAGACTCACGAAGGCCGCCAAAGCCCCCTCTCTTCAAAAAAATGAAGTAAACATTCAATTTACAACAACGCCGCCGCACACGACTCTCCAAGTGGCCAACAAAAAGCAGATAAAAGCCAACAAAAGCCATGGCAAATACCGGAGATCTACAATAGGCTAAAATCTTCGTCATCGCGGCAAACGTCCATTTATGATTAGAATATTTTTCGTTTATTATTTGTTCGTCTTTTTGGCGCGACGCCGAAATATTTTTGGCGCCTTTTTTGGTTGGCAGTCTTTGTTTTTTTGTTGTGTTTTTTGTTTTTTTTTTTTATAGCCCGCAGTGTGATTAACACCTGAAAACGCGCTCTTTCATTATCAATTTCTGGCACGTGTTAACTGCAACAGGGCAAGGTCAAAAATCGCCAGAGAAATGTACAAGTACATATAGCATTTCGATCGTAAATAATCGTAAGAATGCAATCGCCAAGTGTATGAACAATTTTTGGCGTTTATTTTTGACTCGCAGTTTTTGTTGTTGTTTTTTGGGGGGGCTTTTGTTGCTTTCCGCTTGAAAAAAGCATAATAAAATGTTAACAATAGAGAGGGAGAGAGAGAGCGAAACAACAACCTGTTTCCAAGCAGCTCTGACTTTTGTTAATTCTTTTACAGTGGAGACTTGCATAGGAAAAATATTATTAAGATTTAAAATCTGAGGGAAAATCTAAAAGAAAATATTTCCTGGTAATTTTTTCCTCCGTATTTATAGAAAGATTTTAAAATATGAAGATTTAATTTAGATGAAAAATTGTATTTTCGTTTAAAAGAAATTTTCTTTTAGGCAAAAACCTAACTAAATGAATTTAAAAAATGTTTTGACTAAGAAAATGGATCTGAAATTATTTTAAATATTTAGTTTATAATTAATATAAATATATTTCGAATCTTTTTAACAATAATATATTAATAATTATACAGATGTTGTATTTGAAATAAATTTGACTTAGAAACGGCTTAGAAAATATTTTTAAAATTTATTTTATAAGCAAACCCACTTTTAAGCTGTTTTTTAAATCAGAAAATGTATGAAAATATTTCCAATATTCATTTATAAATAAATACTATTTTTAACCATTTTTTTTTTAAATCAGAAAATGTTTAATCTAAGCAGAGTACACCGTGTCAAAAATAGTATACTATTTTTTTCTTTTCGCTTGGCTGGGTTGCCATTTCGGTGCGTTTTTGAAGGTCAACTTTTGGTTTTATTTCATGTTTTCTCCCTCGGTTTAATGAGCTTGAAAGAGTTGATTTCGATGTTTTAACGGTTTGGCTTTGGATATTTGCTGTCAGCCGCAGAAGAGAATCTGCCTAAACTCATCATCCGTTGTACTTGCGTGTAGTTTCAATGTTCCTAAAACCGCCAAAGTACAAAAACATGTACAACAAATGCTTGACAAGCAATTTTGGCGGCCAGAACAAACACGCCACAAAAAATTAGAGAGGCACAAATACAAAAAAAAAAAAAAATGTAAAAAGATACAAAAAAAAGCTGGGAAAAATACAGAAAATTCATAAGAAAAATGTGTCAAAGCCGGCAAAGCCGAAACAAAAAAGACAAAGACAAATGCGGCATGTCTTGAGGTACATGAGCAGCGATTAGCGACAATTTCTGCCCAGTCATAGTTTGATAAAGGGGATAGAGATACACAGATGTACATATGTATCTATAAGATACAAGATATAGACACGGAGATGGACAGTTTGGAAGATGCGATGATGCAATCGCATTTAATTAACAAGCGTGGAAAGAACTCTGCCTGGTGGCAGGTTCCTTCTCTCTTGACCAAAAACGAAGAATGGAAAAAAACGAGAGATGAACATAAATTTCAAATTTATGACTGCCACTTGAACACACACACACGCACACACATGGAACTACTAAAGTATGGACACCTTGACAGGGCCCCTAGATTTATGAGAGGCCCATACAATTCATACATCAACAGCTCTTTTCATAATCTCCCCACAGAATGGCTTTGGTTTCTCATTTTTTTTCTCTTTTCTGTAGCATTTTATTATTTCTTTTATATATTTTTTCTCAATAATAGAAGTTGGAAAATATTATAATTTCCCTACGTTCCATTCAAATAAATCTTGGGCATTGCGTAGGCGCTGCGGCAACACAAACACACACCAAATCATTTAGGCCACGCCCTGTTTTCTATGCTTTTTTTTTGGGCTCATCCAAGAGCCTCATGAATTTCAATGAAATTTATGACAATAAATCAGATGGGCCTGAACTGAAACGAACCCAAAGTCTAACCAAAATTTTTAAAATTTGTTTTTTTTCGGCAGTCTAAAAAAAGGGTTTGTTACACTTTAAGAAATATGTTTTGGATATAAGGAGGTTTAAATAAATTTAAAGAAATTTTTAGAAAAACGAAAATGATAAGAAATAAGAACATAAATTTACCCTGATATAAGAAATTTAACCTCTGATTAAAATGAGGCCCTAAAAATTTCAAAAGATAATAATTCTGTGGTCCCTATTAAAAAGTTAACCCCTGGTTAAAATGGATGAAATTCTACGATTTTTCGCCTTAAAGTAACCTAATGTCAAATAATAAATCTCTGGTTAATAAACGAGTGAACGTTAACTATTTTACAAATTTAACTTCTGATTAAAATGAGCCCCTAAAATTTTGAAGAGAAAATAATTCTGCCGTTGGTAAAAAGCTAACTCCTGGTTAAAATCATGCCTAAGAAATTCTAGAAATTGTCTCCTTAAATTAACCTAAGGTCAAATAACAAATCTCTGGTTATTAATCGAGTAAACATTAATTATTTGGTGGTTTGTTTAAATTTGTTAATATTAAAAAAAAATTATTTTTCATTTAATCACCAGTTCACTTTTCCCCTGTGCAGGGTTAGAGTGAAAGAGCAAAAAGTAGAGTCTAAAAAATTTGCCTTGCTTCCTTATCTTTGGCTCATTCACACATAGAGAAAAAGAGATCTGTGTCAGCAGACAAACTTTTTTTGGGCGAAAAGTTTGTGGCCCACTTTTTCCCTTCAGCATTTCCCTTCTTTTTTTTCTGTTTGTAATTTTTTTTGGGGGTGCCACAAGGCGACGCCTACAATCATGTGTGAGTATGTGTGCGAAGGACAAACATGGCTGTCAAACTCAAAGAGTCCTGGCCAAGAAAACCACCACAGACGCAGACAGGCAGACGGGAAACCGCCTCACACATGAAGAGAGAAAAGTTATGAACTACCCACGAGGCCAAAGGCAACAAGAATTGTAACACATATATGTATGTAGGTACACTGAGAGAGGGAGGAAAATGTGTGGGAAAAATCGGGGGTGACTTTCCCCTTGGTATTACTTATTGATTATTGTTTTCCCCGGTTCTGAGGAAAACTCAGGAAATTGGGGGCGGGTGACGCATATCGCTGGCTTTGTCCCTTTCGCACATTGCGTGCCTATTTAACATTCACATGTTTTTCCGTTTTCCGTATTTTCTCCAGGGGAAATGTCTCATAAATATGATTTATACGCACAAACACACACACAAAGCGGAGTAAGTTGTACATATAATTGCGTGTACAAATCTGATATATATTTTTGTTATATTTTTTCTTTAGCTTATTAAGGCTCTAAAGATCCTCACCCACTTCTGGGCCAGTTGAGAAGGTGTCTCCGGGCATTCTCGAGTGCAGTATTAACAAAACTGCAAACCCAAGGCAAACACTTGCCGCCAAAAATAAACGCGATATGTGTATCGTTGCGGAGAACGCGGCTCCACTCCCTCGCGGTTCAATCGAGCATGTCAATCATATGACGGACAAAAAGCAGATTGAAAATAAAATTGAAAATAAATTCATTTTGGGGGGAGCTCTGCCTTTTGTCTTTGGACAAAGGCACTGTGAGAAATATTAAGGTTTTTAAAAGTAATATTACCCAACGTATTATAAGGTATAAATAAAATAGGCGGCAAATACCCCCTATTTATTTCTTTGGTTTTAATTTCTACAAAATTAATACTGTTTTTATTTAAAGATTTTAAGTATGGAAAAAGAAAAAACCATTAAAAAATACACCGCTAAAGAAAACATTTGGTGTTTAAAGGTTTTTAATACCCTCTAATAATTTTAAAAAATTTAAACATTAGTATTAGTTTTCTGAAATAGCTATTTCATTTATAATTTAATGCATTTAATATTCTAAAATTGTTGTTTCTTTTATATTTTAACGTAATCCCCTTTTCCTTCAGTGTATTTTATTTGTTTTGCAATTGAAAGTCAATTGAGCAGACTTCGGTTTTATTATTTTTTGTAGTCTGAAATTTTTTGGGTAACTTTTTGGAGGGGCCTTTCCTGTCCTGTACGGTTCCTTCATGTAAATGCAAATTCACGCAGCTGCCCTGAGAATCCCCGTTTGGCTGCTGTTGCCCCTCTCATCTCCTTTGTTCCTTTCATGCATTTTAGCAATTTGCAAATTTACAAGCTGTACACACACATGAGAGGAAAAAGGAGAGGAACAGAGACGCGTGCATGTTTAATATCAAATTATGAAGCGGCGTTTTACCCTCATCCGGTGCTGCAGCGTCCCCCGCTAACCCTATAGCCATCAATGCACTGAGCTAAAAAAAAAATTAGAAAATATATTGAAGATTTAAAGGAAATTTTTAAGTCAATAATTTATGAAAATAATATAAAGTTATATAAAGAAGGTTTTTAGTGGTAACATTTAATTTAGACTGTCTAATTTTCGGTTATCCTTTTTTTGGGATGCTATAAATGGTTGGGAATTATAAGACAAAATATGAGAAAACTATTCAATAAGTAGGTATCTGTCTAAGCCTAATGATCTAACAATAAGTATATAATTTTTGAATAGTTTCCTGCGATATATAAGAGTCTATACTTTCTGTGAAATCAATTGTTAAATATAGAAAAATATTAAAAAAAAAATAATAATAATTAATTTTATATTCTGTAAAAATAGATTGATTTGAGAAGCCTTTAAGTAATAATTTAATACCCCTACCATTTCCAAAAATATTTATTTAATATTTTAAATATTTTTTTTTCGTTCCCCCTTTTTTTCCTCCGTGTACAAACACCCCCCCTTACCGTCACTGTGATTGTGCAGTTTTGTGAAGTGCGTTGGCAACATTTGTATGCAAATTGCTTTTGGCGAGTGCATGTGCAACATGTTGCCTTTGTGGTTCCTCCAGCTCCTCGGTTATGCTGAGTTTCCATGGGGGTTCCGGGTTCCAGGGTACGGGGGTGGAGTCGTTCTGACTTTGACTTCCACTTGGGTATCGACTGCCGACTGCCGACTGCCTGCAAATAAAGAACGCATTGAGTTTTTATTAGTTTTTGATGATGCTCATAAAACGACGCGACGGCAGCGATGATAAAAATCAGTTTGCTTAAGTAAAGTGAGGCATTTACGGGGGTAAAACGAAGAGTGGAAATCGAGGCAAGAGTTGAATTGATTGTTCGAAAGTAAGCGTTGCTAAAATGCAATAAAAATAAAGTGAGCTCACTCCTCCTCCTCCCTTTCCTGCCATTTGATGGCGTTGACAAGTGGCCCTGGCTTTGGTTCTGCGGTATCTTTCTCCCTTGATCTCTGAGTCGATGAACCCCACCTGCGGATAAACTCTCTTGGATTACACTTCCTCGGGCTGAACGTGATCCCCCATAAAAAACTAGAAGAAAAAACCATTCGAAATGCCCATCTATAAACGATGCATTGCAATAGTTTTCCTAAACTTTTTTACGATCTGGGTTAGATGGAGCTTTTGCCCTAGGGTCGAGTCTTTATACGATCGAAGATATAACCGACTTGGGATTAAGATCGAGGTGTAATGGCATTCTTTTTATTACGAATTTATTAATGCTGTAAATATGCAAGCTGAAATGCCACTCCCTGAAAGTAGATCACCATAAATGGGTAATCAATAAAGTAGTATTTATGGGCACTTAATGGGGAAGTAAGATCTTTTTTTTATTACATCCGCATTTTTATACATTTTAGAAGGTTTTTCTTTGGGCTTTTTGTATTTTAAACAAAATTTTAAATGCATTTTTTAAGGAGAGAAGTCAAAGAAAATTTATTTAAAATAAGCTTTGTGAAGAAGATATTAAGAAAAGGTTTTTACACATTTTAGAAGATTTTTCTTGGTTTTTTACATAATTTAAAAATCAATTTTTAATAAATTTTAAAGAAGATAAATCAAATGAAAATGATTTAAATTTAAACAAATCTCTTAACACTTCCGAGACAGTCACTGCTGTAAATATCCTTCTCTCTTTCTGAGACAAAATCAGGTTGCCCCTTCATCATCATCATCATCAAGGACAGTTCACTGTCCCCGAATAATGATATAATGACTGCCAGGCAGGGTCTGTGTGCATGTCACACATCGTAATAATTACGGAGGGCTATTGATGGGCCTCTCGGTGTGCCTTGTACGAATACCATACCTTTGGCCATAAGGTGCAAAGGCAGAGGTAGTTGTAGTCCCAGTCCCAAGTTGCCTTATAAACAATTACGATAATAGCGTCCATCCATAAGAACTATAGCGTTTAATGGACTTTTAGCTAAATTAACAAAACCAACAGTGGGTCACAGAGAGAGAGGCAGCAGCCACGCTAATCGCTGACCGACGCGCCCCTCTTTCGCCTTTGTGTGGGTTTTTCTGTTGTTAAAGTGTCTGTGTGTGTGTATTTGTGCACCGCCTAATGACACAACATTTCATTAAAAATAATTTCACAAAACATTTGACGTATTACGTGCAATTGGCATTTCTAATGACAAAACTCGGCCACAAACTGACAGATGTAGATAGTCGTCGGTGGGCTTGTAGCTATCGCTATCTCTGTGTAGCTTCTATTGTATCTTTCTCTTTCACTCTCTGTGGGTTTTTTTACACGAAAAAAAAAATAGTATTAATTTATATATATTTATTAAGGTTAAGGTTAATGTTTGTTTTGTTTATTTCCTTGAAAACCTGAAAAGCAAAGACCTGCTAACTTAAAGCTTTAAAATATGTAAAAAATCGAAAGAAAAAAATACAAATTTTAGTTAGGCTTATTTAAAATGTATTCTTTTTTTTTTATAAAAAATATTTAAAATTATATTTCTTTTGTATTTTATTTTAATTAATTGAATTGAATTTGATTTTATTTATTTTTTGTTTTATTTTATTTTAATATTATTTTATTTAATTTTATTTTATTTATTAATTTTTTGTATTTAATTTAATTTTTTTTATTTTAATTTTAGTATTATTATTTTTTTTGTAAAAAATAGCCTCCCCTAAAATAAATTATATCTAAGCTAATTTTACAATTAAATTTTTTTTTTATCGTGTTATTATTATTTATTTATTAGTATTAATAATTTACCGGCATTTTTCTCTGTGTAATAATTTTATTTATTTTGTTGTCGCGCTTGTTACACATTAGTTAGCTCGTTTTTAGTTTCATTTCATTCTTATCTCTATTAAAATCGCTGTTAAAACGTTTTTTAATTTCCCAATCGCCTCGGCACAATCGCTTAATTATAGTACCCGATGTAAATAGCAACAAAAAAAACGAGAAAATATTGATTTACTTGTAGATTAGTTATCAGGCTTTTCAAGCTTAAAAACCATTTTCCCAGCATATTATTTTGAGCAAACCTGTTTGGAGGCACAAAAAAAAAGACAAATCTGTGAACTCCATTAGGCATCTTGCAGATAAAGTCATTTTTTTATTTTTTATTTGGCGAATGCCTGTCAATCAAGTGTCAAGTGGGGGGAAGCCATCAACAATATCGAATTTCTGGTCTCAGTCAACTAATTAAATTAAAAGGAAAAACTAGAAAAAATCTCTGATGTTGGAATGGTTAAATTTAAACAAGTTGAAGTTAAAATATATATTAGAAAATATAAAAATATAGAAATATAAATATACAAAATATATAATATAAGAATATATATTTTAATTTATGCTCGGTTGGCCATATTTTTGGGCTCTTTAAAATTAGGCTTAACAAAACATTAATGTTAATTTAATAAATTAAATTCCAACAGCAAGTGAGAATGACTCACTGCCTCAAAACTAGCTGCAGTTTTCGCCTCCGCCGCCTTGGCACAATATATAAATATGTAAGAGGTTTTCCCTGGTCGATTATGCGCATAGTGCAAGTGTTTGCCACGATATATATATACGAATACTATATACATTTGTGGATATATCTGTATATATATATAGCACAGCTGATGCCTTGCACAAATGCTAATGAAAGTTGTTGTCATTCATAGAAAGTGTCAAATGCAGTTCATTGAGGAATTGAGTGTAAATGAATCATATTTTCTATAGAAAAGGAGCTTGGAAAAGTCTTATAATTTATTAATAATTAAATTTATTGAAATTTCCACTGCTATAATTAAAATCCCGTCAATATATTTCCATCTCCTGGCAACTTCTCCATTTAATTTCCCTATAAATCAAAGCAGAACTCTCCTTTCTAATTGATTTGGTTTTCACTTGATTGGCTTCTACCTATCAATTAGCCAGCAGCACTTTGCTGTGGCTCATTAAATCAAAGCAACCGCTGCAATAATGCAGCATAATTAAATATGCAACCAAAAACTATGTACAATTAAATTAAGCCACGGCTTTGTTGGCGTTGCAGCAGCAGCAGCAGCATAGAGCTACTGTTGATGTTGATGTTGCTTTTGTGGGCTTATCAAGCCATGCATCGCCTGTTGCAGGTTGCAGGTTGCCTGGCTGTAGGTTGCAGGTTGCCTGGTTGCCTGGTTGCCACAGTTGCTGTGGTATTTCCTGTCAGAGATTTTGCATAAATAATTTTTGATAATCAAAGTTTGCGACGGCCACATAAATTTAATTAGCGGCATATGTTGCATTTAATTAAGCAGTAAGCTCACTTGTGCTGACTTAGTGCGTTGTCTAACTTTTTGTTGTTGGCGTTGTTGGGTTGCTGCTGCTGCTGCTTTAATTAAAATTCACACGATGTGAAATGCTCATTTCGTAGGCCAACTGCGTGCCTCGGTTCGTTTGCCATTATTGCAACTCTCTCGTATTTGTATCTTTTTCTGTATTTATTTTTTCCTGCCTCCCCTTCATGATTTTGTTGCGGCCAACGCTGCATTATTATTATAATTTTTCGCTGTTGTTTTGTATTTTATTTGTATTTTTTTGTTAGCTAGCAAGCTTGCATTGCATTGGATTGCATAAGCAGCCTGTTGCTGCTATTGCTGCCGTTTTTCTAATGCAAACGCATCGTGTGGATGGTGCATATGCGGCATGCATAATTAGCAGACTCACACTGGCATTTCTGGGGTTTTTTCTCATTTTCATTTTTTTTTGTTATTCATTTATTGCCAACAATAAATTTGTAATCAAAAGGAACGAGCAGAGTAGGCTACCTCGCTCTTCTCGCTTTAATGAGCCATTAAGCTTTAGATTTCTGTGTTTAGATACGCCCCAACTCGCTGTCCATTTCCTTGAATCGAATTAAGTTATTAGATATGCTTCAGCTGGATAGCATAGAAATGCTCTTGGAGAACAACATATACGCCGCAGAAAATTCGTGGGGATTATATATATGGATCAGATATGGAAGATGCAGTTACGGGAAATTGTGTGGCAGGCATCTAAATGAGGCAAAGATATGGCAATCTGATTAGAGAAGCGATTCTTGTTTTTTTACTAGGCCAATTGGGGTTGTTTTTTGCTTTTATAAATGCTGAGATATGGAAATAGTCTTTTTATACTAATTTTTTTTTATTAATTTTTAAATACTATTATTTAAATATTATTTCTGTAATTAAATATTACAAATTTATATGAAAAAAAAGTTTTTCGTTTTTATAAATGGTGAAATATGAAAAATAGTTGCTTTCTACTTATTAAATATTATTTAATTAATTAGTTAATTAATTTATTTTTATTAATTTTAATCATTTTTTAATTTTTTTATTAATTTTTATTAATATTTATTAATTTGAATACATGTTTATTAATTTTTATTAACTTTTATTAATTTTTTATAATTTTATTAATTATTACATTATAATTTCTGTGCTTAAATATTACGAAATTGTATGAAAAAATATTGTACGAACATTTTGTAAAATTTTGCAAGTAGTAGGTTTTTTCTAATTTTCTATAAATTAAAAAATCTGTTTAAATTAAAGCTTTAAATGGTTAAATAATATTTAATACTCAACCAGCTATTTCTTTTATTTTCTTGATAAAATCGTATATTTAAATGATCAATAATAACCTTCCTTGTGATTTTCTAAATTCAAGATGATGAATATTCTTAT